ACTCCAAGTACCAGTGCACAAAAGCCCTGTGTGACCAGGATGCTGGGGACAGCTTGTACTGCTCTCAGCAGGACACCCCATGCAGCTGGGCTCCGTGCCCTCTGTGTGCTCAAAGCCAGGGACAGACAGCCTTTCGCATGCCAAGGACTGGTGAAGCCCATGGACCATTTCTCAGAATAATATTTTTCAATCCTCAGATAAAATGCATAGACTATAAAGGAAATTGATAATACCCAAGTACAGTTATCCAAACATCTTTTAAAACCCAGATTGACAGTACTGTTACGTTATGTGTATGCTTCTTTATTAATGATTATAAATCAGGATCTAGCAGCTGGGCTAGCAACTTCTGTAATTCTGAAGCAGTAATGTGCATAGACAGTATTTCATGGTAGACACCAACTATAATGTGATGTGAAAACAGCTGTGATTTCTACCTGTGACCGAGTGACAGGAACTGCTGGCTGCTGTGGTATGTAGCTCCATCATGGAGGAAATGCTGAATTTTCTTTTTCTTTTTTTTTTTTTTTTTTTCCTTTTTTGGGACTGGCCGCACCCCTCTCAGCCAGTGAGCGCTGTGAGCGCACCGGTCATCCCCATATAGGATCCGAACCCACGGCGGGAGCGCCACTGCGCTCCCAGCGCCGCACCCTCCTGAGTGCGCCACGGGCTCGGCCCATGGAAATGCTGAATTTTCAATTAGAGGTGAATGAAAGTAAAGATGTGGGTCTCTTCCCATCCCAGAGCATGGCCCCCCGAATTCTGTTTGTGGACCCCTGTGTCCAAGAGCTCCTTTTCCATCCCCAGCACTTCTTTCTTCCCTGCAGCTCCAGGGAGGAGTTCCATGCCCCCAGCTTGGAAGGTGTGGGGCTGCCAGGCAGCTTCTTAACTTTTGTGGACAAGTAGGACCAGCTCAATTTCTAGGCTTCCACACTTGGGACAGAGGCCCCATTAAAACCTCCTCTATTTTATTCTCAGAAGGGAAGTCACAGAAAAGTACCAGGGGGCACCACTCACACCGAGAGCCAGATGGTGGTTATGGAGGAGTCTGGGCCTTCTGATCCCCCCTCCTCTCCACCCCCCTTCCTCCCCCATCACACAGCAAAAGCAAGAACTGAGATGCTAAGGGGACAGTTTACCTTCAGGCTCTTCCACGCTGCTGGCCGCAGTGGTCGGTGGTGCTACAGGGATCTCTTTGTGAGGTTCAGGACAGGGAGGAAGAGAAGACAAGGTGAGAAGACGTTATTTTCAACCTTAGAAGGACAAGGACCCCAGCACAGACTCCTCCCAACATTCCTGGAAACCTGCTTCCCCTTTCCCACTCGGCACGCAGCGGGTAGCAGAGAGCTGGCAGGGACCCCGAGCACATGGCACTGGTCTCCAGGTGGGGATGTCTGCCCTCCCAGGTGTTGCGGAAGAATGTCGTGGAGAGAAGGTAGGAGCCAGCTGGCAGCGTGGGAAGCTGCTTGTGTTCCCAGGCCAGCTGTGTACGTCTCACTCGGGTGCCATGGTTTGCGGGGCTTCCCCAGGCCTCTCTGTTCATCATCATCATGTCGCTACGTGGGGCCTGCTTGCCTCTGACCTCAATCCACGGGTGGCAGGGCTGGCATGTGAGGGGCTGGAAACTGCCCAGAGGGAGGTTTCTCACATGTGCAGAGACGTGTCTGCAGCCCTGGCCCAGGTTCCCCAGGGCTCATAGCTCACAAGTTAAGGCATTTTCTTAGTGGGTACATGGGACTGAGTGTACAGAAGACCAAAGGGCCAGATAAGAGCATGTGCTCTATTTTGATTATTTTCTTCCTACCCCAAATAGCAACTAGTTCTTACTATACTCTGGATGCGACCCCCTGCTCAAAAATGGTAAGGAGTTTTAGCCAGTCTCTGCTGTTCATCAATTCAGCTGCCAGGCACTGAAGCTCGGGCTTCCTCTTTCTGGACAAGGCCAAACGCTGGACCAAAAGTACCTACAGGGAAGGGACTCGCTTCCCCTGGCGAGTGACCACAAACCTCACGGACTCTAGCAAATACCTGACTCTCTCGGGTAAGACCTCCCTCTAACCCCCAGATTCCTGATGGGCTAGGACCTGAAGCTTGGTGGATCAGGATGGAATACTCAGGCCAGAGACACATCTGAGAGGCACCTGAAGGAGGCAGCCTCTGCACCTTTAGGAAGAAGGGAGCAGGACACAACCTTCAACTTGGAGTCAAATCTTGCTCTCGGGTGATTTTATCAGCGACAACAACCCAAATGCACCCTGTCACAGAGGCTCATTAGGAAGCTGCACCCTGTACCAGGCCCTTTCTTGGCCCTAAACAGCCACCTGGTCCCTGCAGAGATAATCTGGAGGCAACATCTGAATGGCTCAGTCTAACTCTGCAAGCCCACAAACGGGGCGGGGGCCAATGGCCACAGAGCCGCACTGCCCAAGAGCCTCAGTCTGAAAATGTCTAAAACAGGTCAGCTGACTTCTGAGAAGGGCCATGTAGCAAATACCTTAGGCTCTATGGGCCACCTGGTCTCAACTCAACACTGTTGTTACAGCATAAAAGCAGCCATGGACAGCAGGTAAATGAGAGGACGCAGCTGTACTCCAATAAAACTTTAAGAATGGAGACTGGGCTTTGAATTTCATATAATTTTCATGTGTCATGAAATACTGTTCTTCTTTTGATTTTTGTTTCAACCCTTAAAAAAGGTAAAAACCAGTGAGCCATATAAAAACAGGTAGGGCCAACTCCCCTGGCCAGAGTTTGCCAAGCCCCGCTCTCCAGGGAATCAGGCATTGTCCCTGGGGTCTGTCTTGTTCGCTGGGATTCGTGCTGTCCCCTCCCTTCTGTCTTGGCTTAGTTCAGCCCTGCACGAGGAATCAACAAGGCTGAGGCCAGGGGGCTGGCTCTCAACCAGGCTTGACTTTCCAACTGGGACTAACTCTCCGCTCATAACATCAATGTGACCCTACCAGTTGTAAAATATTGAAACCCTTCTGAGCCAAGGCCCCTGAGTGACCCCTGCCATCCTGCTCATCCCTAACCATGTTCCAGCAACTCAGGGGCTAATGGCTGGCCAGACAGGACCCCTGGGACCTGGCAGGGGTGCTATCATCCTTTATGAGGGCCATGGGTGCCATGCATGGGAGCCCTGCCCAGCTAGTCAGTCTCAGAGGCTCTGGGCTTTCAGTCCTTTCTGTTCTGAATCCACTGGGGACAGGGGAAATACTGCGATTCCTGCAGCAGTAGCAGCAGCCCCTCATACGGGCCCACCCGAGGTCCAGGGTCAAGGTAGAATGTGGGAATGGTCCCTGTGCTGAGGAGAGTGGCTGGTGGGTCTCCCACAGGGACTCACCGAGCACCAGGCCCCGGAAGCAGTGATGCACCAAATGCCCTGGGTGCTAGTGACCAGCATCCCTCAACCGCCACCCCACCCCCCCCAGGCACATAGACTGCACGTACTGATGCAGGGGGCAATGGGCGAGCGGCTCTGCTGGTAGCCTTTGGCGCAGCGGTTGCAGGTGATGCCTGTCACACCGTCCTTGCAGGGACACTGGCCAGTGGTTTGGTTGCAGGTTTTGCCAGCAGCGCCCACGGGGTGGCAATCACAGGCTGTGAAGAACACACAACAGGGAGTCAGAGGTGGGGGCGGTGGGGGGACAGCACACACCCTGCTCTCAGGCCCCTCCCTACCCAGGGGACCAGCAGGGATGGGGGGGCAGGCCCAGCCGAGCCCACACACATTCCAGAAGCTCTGTTACTGGCCACCCGCCTGCTCGGAAACGGGGAATGAAAATCAGAATGGACCAACTTGAAAGGACTATTTGGCAGCAGCAAAGTGAAGCTGCAGAGCCCTTCCGAAGCCCCAGGAGGAAGGTCTAGATGGAAATATGTTTTCAGGAATGCAAAGCCCATGGTCCTGCTCAGGCGTACGTGGAAGAGCCAGTGCCTGGAGGCACACCTTCCTGGGACGGCAGAAGTTTATGTGCTTTTGCTCTCTGCCCTCGGCCAGCCCCAGCCCCCCAGGTTGCCCTGAGTTGGAAGGAATGGAGCTGGAGGCCAAGGAAGCCATGCAGTCTGCCAGGTCACAGGGAGTGGTAAGGGAGGTGCGGCCCCAGGCTGCCGCTCCCACCCTGCCTTGCAGCCAGGCAGTCCGAGGCTCAGGCTTCTGGGTCACCAAACCCATAAACTGCAGCACTGAAAGGGGTCACAGTGATAATTTAGTTTTAAAGCCTGATTATACGTGCAAAGACTGGAGAGGTAAAGGAAACTCCCAGGGCCTCCCAGGACGGGAACAGTCAAGCTGGGAGGCGCGGCAAGGTCAGCAGCGGCTACACTGCTGAGCAGGCCCGGGCCCCTCCTCCTGGTTCTGAGAAGGGTGGAGAGCTGGGCTTGCCCACCCTGTCCCGCTGCACCTAGAGGCTCCCTTGCTGGGTTCTAAGGACCCAGTCCCAGTGACAGAGCAGCCAGAGGGCCTTGGGGGATGTCCCCAGCAATACCAGATGCTCTAGGCCAGAACAACTATAGCAGCAGGTGCAGGACACCAGGCTTCCCGCTAAATCCTGCCTCTCTTACCCCAGCGGGGTCGCGTGTGGGTGGAGAAGGGGAAGACAGGTTGAGGAAGGCAAATGCTCTGCCAAGCCCTTCCCCAGGGAGCCCGAGAGGCCCCAGAGCTTGTGCAGTAAGGCAGCCTGCGGCAATTTCAATCAGCACCACAAGCTGCTGTGCGTTTCCACCCCAAATGGGACAAAAACATCCAAAAAGTGGAACCAGATTAGAACCTCCCCAGCAAGCACCGGGTGGCCTGAGGGCATGAGCCTGCGGATGAAAACACGGCCTCTCCCAGCCAGCCGCAGCCTGCAGTGGTTGCTGAGGAGGGTCAGGAAGAGAAGGGGGGGCAGGACAGCAGAAAGGAGAAGAATGTGAGGAACTGTGTGCTGGAGTTGTGTCTGGACATGCAGAAGCTTCTGGAAACACAGGGAGAGGGGTGGCCGTGGGGGCCCCCGTCAGGGGGGGGTGGGCAGGGCACAGGCCTCGGCTCCAAGGGCAGCCTGGGGGACCATCCGCTGTCCTGCGGGTCCTCACCCTCAGTAGCCAAGCGAGGTAACAGCACTGTCCCAATCGTGCCTCTTGTAGACAGGAGTAATGAATGCCTCCTGTTAGCAAACGGTCTTCTTAGATCTACCCTTCATTCAAGTTCATTCCCCGTTTGTTTTAGTTTTACTCAGTAGTAAGAAAAGACCCAACCTTGACAGCACATGGGGGTGCACTGAGGATGACGATGGGGAGGACGGGATGGCAGGAGAGGGCCTTCGACCTTTCCCTATGGCCTCTTCAACCCACCCCTGTGACGGAAAGGGTGACTGAGCACGGGCAGCCTCTCTAAGCTGGTGCGTGAACTCATGGGGCCAACCCAGGAGCCCACCGTCCCAAGCCCCTGATGCGGGCCTGCTTGCAAGCCTGCTGGCAATCCTAAGATTCAGGCCACGACAGTCTCTCCTCGGTGCAGAGGAAACAGCCATGGGCCTGTAACTCTGGCTCCTCAGGCTTGGCCAGAGGGAGTCACGACAGGCTGCTCAGTCACTGAGTCCAGAGCCAAGTCACACACGGGCACACCACTGGCCCAGGTCATCTTTATCTTGGCAGGGGCTGGCTCAGAGCAGGCTCTGGGTGGAAACGGCAGGAGGACCGGGCATTGTTCTCCCCTGCGGCCCCTCACAGCTGGTGACCTGCTCAGCAGCCTGGCCTGGCGAGCTGCCGGGAGGAGCCAGGCGCCAGCTGAGGTCCGCTGGAGCTGGAGGCCAGCCTGGGTAAAGGCTGGGCGGCGCCGGCTCTGCTTTTGTGCAGCAGGCACTTCCTAAGGCCTATCCTTTGATTGAACATGAGCAGATGCTTGCTGCTGGGTTTCCAAACCTTCCTCCTAAGGTTCTACAAGGATCGACCCATTAGTCTGGTTTAACAGAGGCAGCTGGGCTTCGACACCAGCAAATCATTGCTCTAGGAAGAGAAGTCATCAGGGTCCCAAAGGCTGGGAGCCTCAGAAGGCCACTCCAGTCATGTCCAGGGCAGTGTGATCATCACCAGGCTTCGTTCCACCCACGGCTGAGCCCTCCTCCAATAGCAGCACCCCCATCCGGACTCCTGTAAACTACCTGAGCACATCCACACACTCTCATACACATTGTCCTCACAACAGTCCTTGGAAACTGGATGACCGCACAGAGGAGGAGACCACGGACACACAAGGAAAGCCACAGGAGGAGGGAGACCGTGTAGAGAGATGGACAGGTTGTGGCCAAATGTAATCCTCAGACAGACGTGCATGACACTCATTTGCAATTCCCAGCCGCACGACCCCAGCGTGAGAACTTTCCCCAAAACCTGTAAACAGGAATGGCCACACTCACCCTCTATGCAAAGGGTGAGTTTCAAGGTGTGAGGGGAGTAGACATGTGACTGAGTCTCCATAATGGGCTCCTCTATAGCTTGGGAAAGAGAATCTGACTAGCAATGTCAAAGGAAGAGAGGCGGAGGAAGGAAGCCTCAGGCCCTGGCCTTTAGGAAGAGAAAGCCAAAGCCATGCTGTTGTGGTTCCCACCCGATGCACACAGACGCCCACACAGAGTCCCACTAACTCTCTCTCTCACACACACCCAGAAACACAGACACGCAGCTAACTCTTTCTCTCCCCCCACTTCTCTCTGCCTCTCATACACACAGACAAACACAAACGCACAGTTTCTTGCACACTCGCATTCAGAGACACACAGAGCCACAGTGGGCAGGGGAGCGGGGGCTGGAGTGAGAATGTGGAAGTCAGGTGAGCGGAGGTCTTTTCCTTTGCAGGGGGTGCAAAGAGAGCCTCCCTGACGCCTCTGGGAACATGGTCCCAGTCTTCTGCCATGGGAAGCCTTGTGATGACTCCGATTTCCCTGGAAGTCAGCCACTTTTTTTCAGAGGAAGGTCAACTGCTTCCAAGGTCAACCCCATCTGCATGGAGCAAGCGGCACCTGGTCATGGGAAACAATCTACCCAAGGTTTTTTCCATAAAGAGAAAGGTGAGATCAGACAGAAGCCCGGTCCCTGAGAACGCGGCAGGATCAGGCTTCCCATGCACGCTGCGGGCTGGAGAGCCTCCCAGTGCATGGAGAACCCAGACTGTCCGTGCTCTGGGTCATCAAAGGGAGACAGACAGCTCAGGGGTCCTAAATGGATTCAGATGAGTGATAGGAGAGCCAGGTGTGGCCCAGCCCTGCTAGGGACCCTGGGTCAGTGCCTTCCCCTCTCTGCCCACAGGTGGCTCATCTGAAGGGGAGGTCTACACTCCCACTGAGTCACTTCCAACTCAAAAGCCTAAGGCTTCATCTCCAATTGGCTCCAAAGGACCCAGAGTGTCAGACTGTGCTGTTGGACTGTCACCCCCACTGCTGCTGTCCTTGCAGCATCTGGGCCGGGAGGGCAGAGAAAGGGCTCATGGGGCAGAGCACATACCCATTGCACCCACTTACAGCTCTGCCCGTGCTGGAACCCCCTGCCTGTGCCGGAATCTTCTTGTTGAGACTTGGTTTGTAGGTTAAGGGCACCCAGGGCCCTCTGCGAGCCTGGCAAAGCTGACCTGGCAGGCAGATGGTTCTGATCTCTGCTTCCTGTACCCAAGAAGCTTCATTCTTCCCCTGTTCCCTCTGACACTTCTGTCCTGGATCCCAAAGGTCACAGCCCCCACCAGGGAGAAGTGCGCCTGCGCCTGGCCCCCTCCCACTACAGCCCACTACAGCCCCCTTCAGGGTGGCTCTCTGGAAGTCCACCCTGGGCTCCCATCAAGAGCTCTAGCTACTTTTCCTGAGGACCTTGGTTCCAAAGGCCCTTGGGGTCAGGCAGGTCCTTGAAATGGCAGCAATCCCCAGGAATGTGCCTGCGGGGGCGAGGGGAGCCTCTTGGCACCAGTCCCTCTGGAGCAGCTCCGGGCAAGACAGGGAGACGGAACAGCAGTGGCACTGACCCTCACTTTGGACGTCTATCTCCCGGGCCTGTGGCCATCGTGAAGGACGCCAGCCAGCCTGGCCTTGTGTATGGGCCAGATCGTGTCCTCCCCCACCCCTGAGATCATGTTGAAGTCCTCACCCTCAGTACCTCAGAATGGGACATATTTGGACATAGGGCCTTTGAAGAGGTGATTAGAGTAAAATGAGGTCATCAGGGTGGGCCCTCATCCAGCATGACTGGTGTCCTTACAAGCAGCAGAGATTAGGACACAGACACACAGAGAGAAGAGCGTGTGAGGACACAGGGAGAGGACGGCTGTCTGCAAGCCAGGGAGAGAGGTCTAGAGCCGATCCCTCCCTCGTGGCCCTCAGAAGGAACCAGCCCTGCCGACACCTTGATCTTGAACTTCTGACCTCCAGAACCATGAGAAGTGAAGGTCTGTTGTTTAAGTCACCCGGTTTATGGGACCTCATTCTGGCAGCCTGAGCTGACTGATAAACTTGTGCTAAGCATCAGATAAGCATCTACTTCCCCAGGGGCTCTCCCCAGGCCCGGCCCTGGACTCATGAGAAGGAAGGCAGCCCGTCTATGCAACCGATGAGCCTGGGGTCCTCCTTCACTCCCCAGCT